AGAGATAGCCCAAGAAGCCCCATCCTTGGAAACCTTCAAGGCCAGGCTGGATGGGGCTCTGAGCAACCTGCTCTAGTTGAGGGTGTCCCTTGCAGGGAGGTTGGACCAGATGACCTTTAAATGTCTCTTCCACCCAAAAACCATCCTGCCATCCTGACTTTCTGCTGAACTGGTTTTTCTGACCATGACTGAGTCCAAGCTGCCCATCTGGAACCAAATTAATAGATTATTGCAGAAACCATCTTTTGGGGGCTGTTTCTTTTGGTCAGGCAAAGGTTTAGTGCTCAACTGGGCTGAGAAGGTCGATGCCAATGATAATGGGTTGTGATGAGCCCAAACTGTGCAAACTATGGGTGAGCACATAGGCTAAGCTTCTGCAGGAGCTTATCAGTGGAAGAGTAAAAGTCACCCAGTAGCTGTTTATAGCTCTGACTCCAGAGGGGTTGGAGACTGCCTGCTGATATCAAATTGGAATGAAAATGAGTTTTGACTGCAAGCACACCAGCCTGTGATGGCACCTGGTGATGTCTTAGCTTGGCTTTATCAAGCTTTGCCTTGGCCTTGCTATTATCTCCCTGTGGGTAATGAGAGGCAAGCAGAGCTCCTGAGATCCCTCAGACATCAAATGTGTATCTTTGCATCTAAATATAAACTCAAAGAGGAAAAGCCTTGTGTGTAAACGGCCCTCAGAAGAGACCAGGATTGACCCCATTCATTGCAGAGAACTTAGTACAAATGAGTGATGTGCTAAAAGAGGGTTTTATTTTTTGACTTGGCAGTTCACTGGGTTAAGACAGTGCCTGGCACCAGCCTCCTGCCATTCATTTCTTTCCTCAGCCAAACCTAGATGCACCTCAGAGCCATGCCAGAGCTCTGGAACTCATCTTTATTCATGAAGAAAAGTTAATCTCTGCTGCTTCCTAGATAAGCTTTGACCTTATTTTTGCTCTATGTGTAGATAGGACTCCAATAAGTGTTTTTGTGCTCTAGTCTGCCAGTTCTGCAAACCACTGTGTATCTGTGTCTCATGATTGACCTGTTTTCTGTTGATTAACCTTTTAAAGAGAGAGGCAATGAGGGCCTGAGCTTTGATTCACATTTAGCAGAGACAGTGGAAAAGGTCACCACCTTCTGCTGCTGTTCTGAGGCTTCCTGACCTACAGCAGCCAGGGCTGTGTCAGTGGTCTTCAGCCACGTTTGAGTCAAAGCCTCTTAGAGGAGGTCTCTCCAAAGCCTAGCTGAGGTTGTTGCAGCCCTTGGCTTGCACAGGGACTATTTGGCTTGCAAAGAAGGAGGCTGAGCTGTTGGATATAAAGATCTGAGCTCCAGTGTGTGGCCAGCAGCCTTCACAAGCTTGAGCAAGGCTTCAAGAGCTCACTTCAAGAGGGAGTGAGGTGGCTGCTGGTAATTACACTAATTGATTGGCTTACAGTGCAATGGATGAGTAGTTTGCTCTGCCTATCTGAGTGAAGGTTAAAAGGCAGCTTCATTAGAGTCATGAGGGATTTCTCCCCCCCAGCCTCCAGAAGATATTTGTCTCCAGAGAGCACTTCATGATCTACTAGGCAACAGCAGGACAAAGCTGAGTGTCTGGAAGTCACAATTTAAATATTTGAAAAGACTCTTTTATAGAGACATATATTCCTAATGACAGGAGTTTAGAGAGTGTACCTAGTGACCCAGGCATGTGGTAAATGCTGTGATCTTAAAAATGCACATGATTATTTTTACACTGCTCCTCCAGGCTCGGTTATGGTCCTTTCCACAGCAAAGCAAGTGAGCAGAGCAGTTATTTTGGTTGAAATGGAATGGAAGGGTGGGTGTATTCATGGCTTGTTTGCAGCTGCTGCCTTTGGTGAGGGTTGAGAAATACCTTTGCATCCTTCCTGGAGACACTGAATGCAAGGGAGAAGACAATATTTATGGTTAATTAATATTAAGAAGGGTTTAGCAATTGCCAAATGTGATCTGATCAAGCAAAACAAATTGTTATCTTTATTACATCCATGATGGCCAAGTGGTGCCCCAGGGAACAGGGAGATTTCCTTTTCCCAGGGAACCCTGCAGCTCTTTCTGCCCTCAAATAGTTTTCTTGGGTATTGATCTGCCACTCTGACATGACTGAATCCTGATCCCAGCAGTTTATCAGGGGAAGGTCTATCAGTGTGGGAGAAAGAAAACCAGTTTCTGGAAGTCTATTTGCTAAAGGTTGTGTCCTGGTTGGGATGGAGAGACACAACGTTTGACCTGAGGTTGTGGTGGGATGACTCCAGGGTGAGCAGCAAGGGTTGGACTGCCAATTCAAAGCATCTTTCAGGTATCAACCTCTGCCTTGTTTCCACTCACTAAACTTGGGTCACTCATGCAGGTCCTCTTCTGGTCATCACAGAGAAGAGGACCCCTCCAAAGGAGGAGTCATTTTTTGAACTATAAGTACCAATCCTGCAGTGACATGAACTGCCAGCCCAGAGCTCTGGTTTCCATCAGCTTCTTTAGCTCTACACATCACTTAGATGAATAAATTTAGGGATATGAATCCCACCTTTAAAACCTGGACCCTTTCAGGCAGCTGCACAAATATTGTCAACAGGTTAAGGAGGGCAATAAGGCAGAATGGTGTTGGAAGAGCTAATAGGCAGATACAAGAGGTTTTTATAGGAAAAATAATTTTTAAAGAGCCACTTTTTGTGTCTTGCAAGGCCAATCTTGTGTGTCTGCAATTTATTTTCATCAAAGAGAGCATTTGTTGTGAAAGTGAACCCCTAAAATCTTCTTTCATGCATCACAGCTGATGGTAAAAAATGCTGACAGGAAATAAAATACAGATCACAAAAATTCTCAAGGTGTGTAATTCAGGACATTTAAAAAGCCATCTGATACCATCACCTTGTATATTATTTTGCATTATCACCTGTCCTGGAGTAATGGGCTCACTGCAATTTATTGAGGTGGATAGAGGGAAAGATTGTAGAAAGTGAAAGATCCTGTCATGAAAACATCTATTTTTTCATGGGTAAAATAGCTAAATCTTAATACTTTAGGAGCTGCTGGCTGTTTGGTGGCAGATAAGTTTGATGCTGTGGAAACTGAGCTTTTCATCTGATATTAGACACCTGAAAACTGCATTTTAATGAATGCTACAGAAGAGGATGCATGAAGAAGATATCAGCAGTTATTCCACTTTTCAGACTCCAATAAACTCACCTCGGGACTTCACTTGAAAAGTTTTGTTTGCTCATGAAAGAAGGAAGGGAAAAAAAAACCAAACTGTAAAATAACTTGGAAAGAGAGCTGAGGGTTCTTTATTTTTCAGCTTCAAAGCATTTTGGTGTGCTCTCTTTATTGATCTGAGACAGCCTGCTGCCTTAGTCTGAACAGACTGATGATGACACCAGCTTTTTTTCTGAGCTCCAGGAGTAAAAGGAGAGATTTAAAGGAGGCATTTCAGATGAGGCTATAATTGCCTAGAAATGCAGCTTGCAGTGGTTCTCCCACTTCCCTTTCCTTGCACGTGAGAAGTATTTTCTCAAAGCTTTCTTCTTCATACTCTAGTTTCTCTTGTTAGGCTGTTGACCTTAACAGCAACATGTTAGTCACATTTGGGGAAGTGTTGCAGTCTAATGGGGCATGACAAATAACCAGGAGCAGAGGTGCTATAAAAAAAGCAGAGTCTGTTGACAAGCCATCTATCTAACCCAGGCAGCAACTGGAGTGCTTGTCTGTTGGAAATTTAAAGGGAAAATAAATGTTTTCAAGACTCCAGGAAGAACTCTAAGATATGTAGGGAGTTGAGGCAAAAATACATCTGATTTCTTATTTATTTTGTTTTTTTTTAATCCAGATCTGCCAACTCCTTTTGGCTTCAGTGCTAATGTTACATTAGTCAACAGAGCAGCGTGTGTGTGACATCATCAATGCCTCCTGAGAAACAGGAATAAAAGGGCAAAATCAGAACATTAGAACTCTGTAGGAAGGACATGTGATTTTTTTTCTTCTCCCAGAACGCTTCAGATTCAGATCATCTTCAGAAATGCTTCATTTTAACAAAATCCCATGTTTTCTCCCTGAACTTAGCTCTGTGAGACTTTCCTTCCTAGCTTGGATAGCTGGGAATGTTCCCCCTTGCCCCAGCCTCCCATAGAGAATATCTGGGCACAGCACTGGCCCTCCTCAACCTCTGGTATTTTGTGCCTTCTTCCTTTTAAAGGAAAAAAAGAGATTTGGGTCCTATTCCCTCAGCTGTCCTCAGAGTCCCCTTCCACACACCCCCTGCCCAACCAGCTCGTTCAAGGGGGAGATAAAGCTGGTGACAGAAGTTTGGGGGAATTGGAGAAGGGAGGGGAGCGTGTCTCACATGTTCAGATCATGTGTTTTAATGCTACAGGGAGAGATCAGGGCAAGGAAAAGAGATGGTTAATTAGGCATTTTCCCCTTTTTCTCTAAAAAAAAAAACACAGGGAGAGATCAGGGCAAGGAAGAGAGATGGTTAATTAGGCATTTCTCCCTTTTTCATCTAAAAAAAAAGGACACTGCTCTCTACAAACTCTAATTTGCCTGTTTTTTTACACTGAACTGCTGCTCTCTCTGTACCAATTTTTGGAAGATGGCAGACACCACCAGTGCTGAGTACCAGGGACTGGGATAGCTGAAAGCTACACATTTAAAGAAAATATTTCCATGCCTTTCCTTCCAAAATGTGCCTACACTGTCTCTCTACGAACTCTAATTTGCCTGTTTTTTACACTGAACTGCTGCTCTCTCTGTACAAATTTTTGGAAGATGACAGACACCTTCAGTGCTGAGTACCAGGGACTGGGATAGCTGAAAGCTACACATTTAAAGAAAATATTTCCATGCCTTTCCTTCCAAAATGTGCCTACACTGAGGTGATTGGCTCCACACGCCTTTGCAGAGCTGCTCCTCTCTGCCCTGGTTCCTCTGCTCCATCCAGGAGTCCCCTCTTGTGGTTGCTCTACTATTTACTTTTCTCTTTTCCCCAGGTTGCAGAAGGCAATGGGACAACATCACCTGCTGGCCTGAAGCAGAGGTGGGAGAAGTTGTGGTACGACCATGCCCAAAATACTTCAGGTTCCTCACCACTTTCCTTGGTAAGCAAAACCAGACAGCTCATCTCACTGAAATGGGTATAAAACTGCTTCACTGCCTCTGGGGTTTCATATCATACCACGGGGAAGCTTTCTTGGTATAATCAGAGGGAGAAACAAGCTCTTTGCACAAGGTAAAGGAGGTTTCCAAGCCCTACATGAACACCCAAACCATCAGAGCATCCTCCCTGTCTTTGCAGCATTTGGCATCACAGGGATGCAAAAACCCAATAATATGGATGCTGTGCAGTGGAAATTGAATCAACACGTGTTAACAGTATGTTTGTTGAACAGGTTAGCACTGTAATTAAGTCTCTGACATAAAATAAACAAGCTAAAACTGGACGTCAATATTTTTCAGGTGAAATGACAGGTTTGGCCACAGGCCAAGAAACAAAACCCACAAACAATGAGCAGGGAAGGTTAACAGAGAAAGCAGCTTAACTCACTCTTCAGGATGTTCTGGGAAGGTTTAATTTAAAACTCAGGTCTCAGGGGCCGTGCAGCAAGAGAATTCTTTGTCTCCTGGTAGTTTATAGTGGTTATTTAGTGGTTTTATTACAGGAGCCCTGCAGGCCTCCACAGAGAATTAAGCTCTTTGCACTGGAGATTAGGCACTGAGCTGATCAGCCTCTGTTTTTACAGCCTTGCAGTGCAAACGTGCATGAGAGCTAAAGATGGGGAGTAAGGAGACAATATCATCCCTCCTTAACAGGCCAGGCCACTGCACTGATGAACCAGCACATGCTGATTCCATGACTTGCCCAAGGCCACAAAAGTGGAGCCAGAAGGGAAATTCAAAATCCTCTGAGTCCTAGTTTAGTGCTGTAACCTCCTGGCTTCCAAAAGTTCCCAGCAGTTCATCAGTGCTGTGTCAACACCCAGGGGAAGCAGGCAGGAGCTGCTGAGACATCCCATGGTGCAAGGACAGGACCCCTGCACGTTGGTCCAGCCATGGGGAATAATTCCCTGCTGTGGATTCTCTGTAACCTCTCCTCTCATAAGCCCAACACTCTCACTGGGTTTTAGAGACCCAGGAGAGTTAGTTAAATAGGAGGGAAAAAACTCTCTGAGAAGTTTTTCTTCATCCCACCAGAGCAGAGCAATGAGGAAGGTATCACATAGATTTGATTTGATATAAATATAATTGTGACTGTGATGAATGTAAGGTAATCAATGTGAGATGCTTTTAATGGTTTGACAGGATGGACTCAGGAGACACAGTAAAATTGCCCCTTCAGAGGCAACTACTTCTCTCTAAGATGTCCTAGGACATCCTGGTCTCCAGGTTCCCCTGCACATAGGTGCAGTTCTCCCACAGCTCTTGTGTCACTGGATCTCTTTAGTTCCAACCCCTCTGATTTGGGACACCTCCCACTAGAGCAGGTTGCTCCAAGCCCCATCCAACCTGGCCTTGAACACCTCCAGGGATGGAGCATCCACAATTTCCCTGGACACCCTGTTCCAGTGGCTCACTGCCCTTGTAGAGAAGAACTTCTTCCTAATTTCTAATCTCAATCTCTCCTCTTCCAGTTGGAAGCCATGACTCTTTGTCCTATCACTACCAGCCCTTGTAACAAGTCCCTAAAAGTCCCTTTCCTAAACAAAAGCATCTGGTGCCATGGGAGATACTCTGGGGGGGATTTGAGCAGTCCATGAAGATGCCTCAACTTCTGCTCAACTTCTTCTCCTAGGAAACCAATTTCTAACCTGGAATGACATTCAGATCAACTGATTTTAGAGTTTTCATATGTAAACCTCTCTCTGAGCTTGTTTTACAGTCAGGAGTGAGAAATAAGCTCCTGAGAGGTGCAGTTCAGCTGAGTTTTAGACTTCACCTTCCAGATCAGTTGAATAACCTCAATAAATGGAGAGGATTGTGTGGTTTATAGCCAAATGATTGCAGAGCAGCTCTGGCAGATGTGAATGTCTCATAGCACAGGTGAATCCCACCTCTGCCAGCATCTCCTTCTGTAAACAGAAACCCCCAAAGCAAAAACAACAGCTTTGATTTTTCTCTGAGCTCTTTCTCTGATGCACTTCATACAGTCACACACAAATGTGGAAAGGAGACACGGCCTTAAATAAAGGGAAGGTAAAATTACCTCTGGTTTTGTGGGATTTGTTGCAAAATTAATGCCATTAAAGTTTGAAGCAGTTCTTCCTTTGTTGTAGTGAGGATCACTGAATAGCTTTCAAGGAAATCATTCAGCTGGTTAATGTTTGTCTTGCTCTTTGATCCCTTTGCAGGGACATGAAAGCTTATATTGAGTTGTGAGCAAACCTTTTTTTTTATATATTTATAGCAGGAAAAAGGGTGAAATACAGGAAAACAGGGAGTTAATATGATTTTCCTGCCTAATGGAAAATATGCTCTTCAAATGACTAATACCCTATCTCATAGTAAATGAAGGATAAAATATCTCGTGGCATTTAGAAACCTTCAGATGCCTGGCAGAGCCCTGATGTTGTTTGACATTAGATTTTTACACCATTCACAAATCCAGAAGGTTTTCATGATTTCATGACAATGGTCAGTGCCACATGAAGGAGATAGATGGAAGAGATACATGGAAGCTAATTTTTGTAATAGGCATTTGTTTCCTGCGTTTTCCCCAGAAGTAAACTGTCCATCATGCACAAGTTAAACAGTCAAAATTAGCACTGATAGCTTTTGAGCTTCAATTAGGATATGAATTGACTTCAGAGGACAGAGATGGGAATAAGCAAGCACTGGAATCCCACTCGGTGAGGTGACATCCTGAGTTTCAGGCTTGCCAAACTAATTTTTTGTCCTCTGGGGCTCTAAATTTCCTTCTATTCTCCTTTCCTTTCCCTTATGAATCCATTTTAGTTCTCCTTCCTTGTGCTTAAAGGGTCTACTGATTGCAAGGACTGCAATTCATCATTAAATCTGGTAGATTCCTCTTTTCAAGCCACCCAGACCCTACCTCTCTGCAGGTGGATAGTGCCAATTCTAGAGTCTCCCAGGAGTGGCAGCTTGAGCAAAGCACACCAATATGTGCATGAATTTGCATAGTTCAACTCAAAAACCTTCAATGTTGGTCCAGTGCATTGAAACAGGACCAGCACTGTTATCAGGCATCAGCCACATCTTCCCTCCACTGCTCTGAGAGTTCTCCAACACTCAATAATGTCTTCATCCCCTTACTTGTTTTGTTCATCTTCATCATTTTTGCACCAAAAATGATTTTCCACCAGCTCTTTCCCACTGCTGGAAATACACTGCAAAACACTGAGCAGGGGTGATGCAGGGGGTGAGATGACATCTGGATGTCTGATATGGTCTCTACAGGGAAACTAATAGTCTGCTTTAGCCTAAAATCCCTCCACTGCCATGTCAAAAGTGAGGTGAGATGAATCCCAACTTTTTGCTCATGCAAAAGAGATCTCTAATGAGCGGACAAAATCAAACAGAAATGCAGAGCTGCATTTATTTTCCCCCTCAAAAAAAGATTTTGATTTACTTGAAAAGCATCTTAATCTCTCTCTTGAGCCAGCATTCTCCTTCTCAATTTTTCTTCTCCTATATTCTATATTGCTTTTGAAACTGGAACAAAAACTGAACAAAATGAGGAGGGGTATGAGCAGACAGCAGCAGAGAAGCAGAAGACATTATCACTACCACCAAGGATCCCAAAATGAACCAGACCTGCTCTTTATTTATTACAACGCTCACTTAAAAGGAAATAAGCAGTTGAGATTTCTTTGCAGCTGAGGAGTCACAATGATGCAGCCCACACCTCTGAAGAACTGGTGCTGAGGAGGTTTTGGGAGCAGTAGATGACCTCTCCTCAGTCCTACAGAGCACCACAGGTCACATGTGTCCAGTGATACCAGTGCCCACTGTGCTGAGACCCTCACATTGAAAGCCCATAGCTTGTGGAGTTGCTTTACCCCTACTTATCCTAAAATATTTATCTTTTTCTGTAAATATTCCCTAGTATGGTATGATTGCAATAGCAAGGAAAAGAAATTTGCCCTAGAATTTTGTAGTTCTGCTTTTAATGTGAGAAAACAGTTTACCAAACGTAAACTAATTAATTTAGAAAGGAGGAATTATCTGTATTAAGGATCAAGATCTTTACACTTAGGGATATAATGTGCAGGAAGGAGAAAGGAAGATAAGGGAAAATGGAGGATTTCCCAAAATCCAGGGTGCAGGAAGCTTTAAAGCACTAGAGATGTGGCAGTAGGAAGTGCAGAGCAAGTGATGTGAACAAGGAAAAGATGAAGAACCTGAAGACTACTTCTGCTGTGGGACATCCTGACACCATGCCAGGGGCTGGACTAGGGGGTGAATTTATGTCATAAAAGATGAAATAGCACAAAACACTAAGCAGAAACTGTACTGAAAGAATGATCTTGTGAGCCCATGACTGAGGCAGATAAAGCAAGTTTGGAAAACATCTTATTTACCCCAGGAGTTTCTCCCAGATCTGACCACTTCACCATCCAGCTTAGTGCAAGCCACAGCTCCCTGGAAGTCTCAGGTGTTTCCCAGGAAAAGAGGGACAGATCCATAATAAAAATGGAACTAGAGATGTTCCAGTGGGCTCAGCAGCATCTCAAGAAGGGTAAATGCTAAGAAATGCTGCTGCTTTAATAGCTCCTACTTGAAAAAATTGATTTTTGACCATGGAGTATGATGCCAGAGAAACAGGAGAGATTGCCACTCAGAGCAGACCTTCCCCTCTCTTTTAGAAGCTATTACAGAAAAGGGCAAGAGAAGCAAGAGGGAGACAAAAGCAAACACCTCTTAGCAATGTCTGACCTTCTCTCTCTTTGTAGGAATTCAGGCTCCCATTAAAAGCCAATAAGAGGTTTTCTTCCAGTGAGATCAAAGAGCTAAAACCTCACCTATGACACAAACTTTCAGACATGTTTCTGAGTCTGAAGTGTGTGTTTGAAACAGATGAGAGGCAAAAAGAAATGAAGAGAGGGGGAAAAGCCTTAAGAGCTAGACCTAGGCAACAAATTGC